AGCGTGTGTGTGCGGGTGTATAATGACCACATGAAGCAGTGTGCAATGGCCGGGAGAAAAGAGCTTTGAGTTTTTTAGGTGAGGTTAAAAAGTTCGGAGGAGAGTTCGAAGGCTTTGACGAAAAGTGATGGCAACAAGATCAGTACCTGAAGCAGGCGAATCAAACTGGATAGTGTTGCTCCAGGCAGGATTCATAGTCTATTTGATTTTTATATTTAGATACAAAAGCAGGGCAGCAGTTTTCGCTGCATCTTAATGTTAAAGCGTATTTCCATGAAATGTGAGACATTGTCTGTTCCTGAAACTTTTTAATGGGAGATGGACAAAAATGATGTGGAAAATCTCGTGCTTTTACGAATTAGCCGTCAAAGCCCGGTTTGTTAACAATAGCCTCTGCTTATTTAACTTTAATAATACAACGCATACAACTTTCTAAATCAGCCATCTCTATGGGTTTAATATCCTGCCATGATTCAAAACTGAAAATAAAGTTCTGAAAGGTTGAAACCAAGTGTTCGAAAACTCAAAATCTTACAAAAAAAAGTTTTGCAAGATCGAAAAAGATTATTTGCAAGCTTGCATAATGTAAAAAAATTAAAAATATCTCTGCAAACATAATGTTGTTTTTGAGATTTCCTTCTTCAGAAATGCAACAATTTTTTTTACGATGTTGCGCAAACAATTTTTCAGAGTTTCAAATTTGTCAGTGTTCTCCCACTGTATTAGTTTGTTTTCCAGGTTTGAAACCTTGTAAATGGTCTGAAATCTGAAAACTGGTGTGCGAATAGGTGAAAAAAAGTTTTGAAACTCTGAAAACTGAGGTTCGAAAGGGCGAAACTTATTACATTACATGTGCACTCCTATTGCAGACTATTTTTTTCAGAGCTGAGTTTACAACACCCAGTTTGCGGAGATACGCCCACACAGTTGCGAGCTTGCGACTCACGTGATTTGTGGCAGCTTTGTCACGCAGTTCTGCTCTGAAACTCTGAAACTCAGACTGAGCGAAAATGAAGCTTCGCAACTTAAAAAAAAAGCCTGGAGGGAGGGCCTTCTGCTCTTGGCCAATGCTTTGCTGTCTGCTGACCTACAGTCCAATCACAAGTCGTATTTACTGGAAAGGTGGGATTGACCGACTGCTCCGCCAATGACGAAAGAGTATGGGATGAATATAGTCAGTCATATTTATTTATAGAGCACATTTAAAAAAAACAGCTGTTGGCCAAAGTGCTGTATCAAAATATAGTATCAAAATGATTAACACGTGCAAGCACACTTATCAATGAACTTGATTAAAGGTGCATTGTGTAATATTTCTGAGGATCTATTGACAGAAATGCTATATAAAATCCATAACTATGTTTTCAGTGGTGTATAAAGACCTTACTTAATGAACCGTTAAGTTTTTATCACCTTAGAATGAGACATTTATATCTACATAGACGCGGGAATCCCCTTCTATGAAGGTCGACATGTTGTGACGTCATGTTTCTACCGTAGCCGAAAGCGAACAAACAGCGCTAAAGAAACCTCATTGCTTGACTTACTACTCTCTGCTGCTGACTCAGACTCAGACGACGACATATTTTGTCTTACGTCGGCCACCGTAGCTTCTCATTCGAGTTTGAAAACCGAGGGATAGGCCGCGAGTGACTTGCTGTTTGCAATTCGCAAGTCTCACCACTAGATGCCGCTAAAAATCACACACTGCACCTTTAATGTTGCAGAAATGTTTTACTATCCACAACCAAAGGCCTTTCAACAGGCCTTTTCAGGGGCGGCGCCAGATCATTTTTAACGCAGGTGCTGAGGGGGTGCTAGATCATTGACAGGGGGAGCTGCGCAATTATATATATATATATCCAGGCAATTGGTTGATGAAAAATTGATTAAAATTAAGATACAATTTATACAAAACGAAATTCACTTTAAAGAAATGCTTTCTACAAAACAAAACTTAATTTAGTGGTCAAAATCATGTCTGACCCATCATATCTTCCGATATATTGCGCATCCATCTTACACATGCTGTTCAATTTTCATAATCAGCATAGATGTGAAAAAAATAACATTATAATATTTTAACAAAAATGAAACTAAATGCGCTTATTTAATGGCTACAACACATATAGTGGGCCTACAGACTCTCTAAATATTTACATTAATATTAACAATGCTGTAGAAGTGCAGTTTGTTGATAGTAAATGTTAACTAATCTATAAGTGTTACCGATTTTTTATACACCGATTCAGAGGTCTCGTGAGTTCAGTGTTGGACATGTCAGTTGTTTCAACTATTCATTAAAGTGAATAGTTAAAATGAGTCATTCGTTTGCGTATCGGACGTGTCATTAGTGGACGTCTAGCACGCTTGTGTGATTATCTCGGCAGTTTAGGAGTAGGACATCACACAAGATTTGCAATTCGTACAAATAGAGACATTTTTGTGAATACAAATGTTTTCTTTTGTATTAGTGTTTCATAATTTGCGCATCCAACAAAGAAGACGTGCATGTGTGGATCAGGTGACGCGCGTGCATTCATTGACGTCTTTTCTGAGTCAATCTCATTTGATTCATTTGGATTTTGAGACTTTCTTTTCGCGGTTTTTAAGCATTTCACAACCCACACACAAACAACTATGAATAGGTCTGGTGCTAGTTATTAATGTGGGCACAACTACACATCTATTTGACAAATTCATAAATGTGCGTCACTACATTTAAACTAATACAATACAATGTTTGCGCAAAATCCAGAATCACATGAATGTGCAGCATTTTGTACAACTAGAGCCATATAGTTGTTAATACAAAACCTCGATTTTGTATTAATGTAGCTCAGAACTTGTGCATGCAACAAGCAACCCAGTCTCATGTAAAAATGTAGCCTGACTACATTGGTCCAAAGTGCAAAACGTAGAGGGGTTACAATAATGGCCCTTGAATTGTATGACTGTTACATTTTTTTTTTGCCTATTCTTTTGCGTCCGAGTCACGTGACTTTCAAGATTCCGGCCGTGAGAACAAAAAACATGGCGGACATTTATCTCATTTTTAGTGAAAAAATCTATATTTTGAGTTAGTTTCTGCATAAAAATAAGTTTTGATTACATTTCTAGCGAGAAATATATATATTATTTTCATAATATTCACTCAGTGAAAGTACATAAGCACTCGCTTGATCGTTGTAGCGAAGATTTTTTCAGATCTCGCCAGAATAATGTGAAACTGATACGTTTTGGTTGGACTAGGGCTGCAACAACAAATCAATAAAATTCGATTATTAAAAGAGTTGGCAACGCATTTCATTATCGATCCGTTGTGTCGCGCAATTATTAGGCTACGTACGCCAGTCAATAATTCGCAGAGATGTTTGAGTATAAATAAATAAAAAGTTGAGATACCGAGTGTTTCCGAGATCGCGCGCGAGAGAGACCGAGTGTGTCCGAGATCGCGAGAGAGACCGAGTGTTTCCGAGATCGCGCGCGAGAGAGACCGAGTGTGTCCGAGATCGCGAGAGAGACCGAGTGTGTCCGAGATCGCGAGAGAGACCGAGTGTGTCCGAGATCGCGCGCGAGAGAGACCGAGTGTGTCCAAGATCGCGCGAAAGAGACCGAGTGTGTCCAAGATCGCGCGCGAGAGAGACCGAGTGTGTCCAAGATCGCGCGCGAGAGAGACCGAGTGTGTCCGAGATCGCTCGAAAGAGACCGAGTGTGTCTGCGGTAAATTGCTACGTAGCTACTACGTAGTAGGCTATTTATTACTAAATACCTTACACACCATTGGAGGTGGTCAATCCAATTTGTCTTATTTATATATTATTTTATATTGTATTTATATGTTATATACATTGTATTTATAATTAATATTAGGATAGACTAGAGATATTATCTTCTGTTATAATTATTATTATTGCTATTATTATTACCCATTATCCATGTGCGAGACTTGTAATTTTTGGGCATTTGCTTGTCAAATAATGTCAAACATTTTGTTAAAGATTATAACATCTTTGACAAAAAAACAAAACAAAACACAAGTTTGTGAGTGTGTGCATCTGTGAGTGTAGTGTGGAGAACAAGTTCTGACGTTCAAACAAATCCTGTTAAGTTTTCTGATTAGTATTTTTCTTTATTTTTTGTAAATTATTTATAGTTCTGACAGCTCAGGTCCCTTTAAACAAAAACATACATCTTTTTGTGCACTTTATTTTTAAAAAGCCTATATATTTGGCAGATGTAAAACATGCGTGTTGTTTTTTTAATCCGATTCATCAATTAATAAACAGATTAATCGATTATTAAAATAATCGTTAGTTGCAGCCATACAACGCTGCTATCGCCTAGCATAGCTGTGGCCCCAGATTCCAGATAAGACTCTCCCTTGCGATTTCGCTTAGTCTGACGGATCAAACCCCCGCCCACTACATGCGTTGCCTCTGAGGTTGATTTGCTGATCCGTAGCAGCAGGAGAAACTAATGTTGACAAAGTGACGAGTTACAATCGGTCTGCTGCGTTTAATTTTGAAATCTACCGGATCTTCTGTGCATTTAACTTCCTGTGTGGTGCGATCTCATTGATGGGTTTTGAGGCATCATGGTCCCACGCAGAAGAAGAAGAAGATGAAGAAGAAGAAGTCCTTTTAGCTTGCTTGTTGGAATCATTGTTAGTCCAATAAATATGAACTGGCGTGTTATTTGTGGTATTACTCCTTGATCACGATCACAATATCTATCTATCTATCTATCTATCTATCTATCTATCTATCTATCTATCTATCTATCTATCTATCTATCTATCTATCTATCTATCTATCTATCTATCTATCTATCTATCTATCTATGTGTGAAGGAGAGAGATGATCTGTCAAGCTTTTGTAAACACAGCATGTGTTCTCTGGTTTGCAACAAAGTGGGAGTCTTTCAGGCTTTTGAATTTTGTTTAATATACTGTATAACAACATAGCTTATGGAACAAATCAATGGGATTGAACATTTCCTTAATTCGTGGTGTTCTCCTCCGTCACCCACTGTGGCGGCCAAGTTTTCCCACTGTAATAAAAAGAGAATGATATTTATTTAGGTCTTGACATCAGCCATGAATTAAATTCAAAACAAACATGACAAGGTTAAGGGTAAGTGATGAACAGCAAGCCACCCTTTCATTCAGTAGGTTTATAAACTTACAGTAACCTGATAACAGTAAAGTACCTGCTTATGATAATATTTTGGTTGAGGTTTGAATATGCATTAACTACGATGTAGCCATTTATTTGAAATTATATACCTCTGCTCTGAAGGTATCCATTGTAAAAGCAATTTGCTGCACAATAATAGTCTTGAAAATTTGGTCATGAAAGACTTCCCAAGTCTTTGGACTTTTGTAAATGCCTTTAACCGATGTGTGTTACTTTAGCATCACGATGTCAACATCTAATCAAAATGCAATGTAAAGAAAAAGGAAATCCTTGCTCAGAATAAATTGATGATTATGTTTAACATATGTCTCTACATTATGGCAGTAAGGTTTATTTGCCATAAGCACCACATAACTGATAAAATACACAAACACTGTAAAACTTGAACTAAAAGCTCAGTGCCAAAAATTGTACGCCCTCTTACGGGCCTGATGTGATACATTTTGATAAATGTAACTCAGTCTCAGTTATTTGCTTTGTGTAGTAGATCTCCATTCCCTTGTGCTGCTTAACGTGTATGTTTAAACTTTAGGCAGCATGCGACATCATAATTTGGTTTTGATTCTAAACAATTAATCCATCCAGTTAATCTCATGGTACCGACATGCACCAAATTATAATTCATTTAGATTTGAGCAAGATCTTTGCACAAAATAAATTAAAGGCAAGTTACATATAGATGGCTATCCCAAATACAACCCGTTCAGTTAAGTGGCTGACGCAATTAAGGATGTTAAATGGACTTGTACTTATATAGCGCTTTTATACTCTCTGGGACCACTCAAAGCACTTTTACAATGTTTATCACTACCACCCTTTTACATACACATTCATACAGCACTGTGGAGATTGGATTTCCACGTATTCACACACCCAATGACACACTGGGGGGAAAGTGTGGGTTCAGTGTCTTGCCCAAGGACACTTCGACACACTGTGCCACAGCCGCCCAAAAATACAAGCCAAGGCTATTACTTTAAGTTTTGAAGTACTAAGAATTAGGCTATTCCAATCAAAACTATGATAAATTGTACATACCAGAGTGAACAGGGCTCCCATTCCACCAACTTCATTTGGATCCCCTGAAAAAACATAAAAGTTGGGGGGTTAAGGGGTTTCTAGTTGGGGTGCTGCAATTCCACTACACTACTACATCTAAGACTTTTAATTATTATAAAGCTAACCTTCTGCATTTTGCAGCGGATCACCCTCTTCACTGGGTAGTAAGGTTCACCTTCTAGGATCCCATGGTTACATTCTGAAAGAGCAAAAAAAGTACATGAGTTTGACCTCATACATCTTCATCAATGTATTAAAAATTATTTTGATAGGCAACACATGATATATTTATGACTTAAGTATATTTGGCTAAGGCAAAATAATCACTGTATTTGAAGTCTGATTTGAAATGGTGAAATGTAAATCTAGGAAAGCTTAATAACCTTTGGGTGATTCCCCCCCCCCCCCCCCCTCAGTTTCTTCCTTGTACACATGGAGGCTGCAGAATTCTTCTGCTTCTTTTTATTCTTTGCAGACACATCTGTTAAGATTAAAGAAATGTATCTGTGAAGAGCTGTTATTACAATGAATACTGGTCTAAATACCTTTATTCCAATAACAAATATATAATGTCACATTACAATTGGAAAGATATAGATTGTAATCTTTTGCAGGGCACTCATTGAAATACATGGACATTGTTTAACCATTTGCTGTATGGTCACTTCTTCGCTCTACCAAGGGTTATAGACTACAAGATGTACAAACAGGTGACCAATTGAAGGAAAAGCCTGGAAGATGAGGGGAAAAATAATGAATGTACTTCCTCCTACACATATTACCTTTATCCTATAATCTCAATATTGATGGGAGATGTGTCTTCCAGACTGATAATGCTTCAATTCACAGGGCACAGGGTCTTACAGAATGATTTACTAAGTATGAAGATTATGTCAATCTGATTCAATGGGTTTTACAAACCCCAATTCCAATGAAGCTGGGTCAACTGTAAAACTAAAACAAAAACATAATACAACGATTTGCAAATAACTTTCAACCTGTATTAAATTGAATACTCTACAAAGAAAGGACATTTAATCTTCAAACTGAAAAACTTTATTATTTTTTTAGCTAATATTAACTCATTTTGAATTTGAGGCCTGCAACATACTTCTAAAAACCTGGGACAGGATCAAGACTGGGAATGGATCAAGACTGGGAATGTTTGGAACATTCAGGTGAACAGGTTCATTGGAAACACGTGAGTGTCACGATTGGGCATAAAAGGGGCATCCCCAGAATAGAGAATGGAAGAAGGATGACTTGCTTGTGAATGACTGAGCCTTCTGTGGATGCTATATGACGGTGGGAATCACTATGGTAAAGGATATTAACGTGGCCTCAGGAACACCTTGGAAAACAATTGTCAGTTAACACAGTTTGTCGCTAGTACAAGTGCTACGAGTGCTGTCCACATTTAAAATAGTTTTTTGGAAATCACGGACGTCGTGTTCCTCGGGATAAAGAGGAAAAGGACCTCCCAGATTGTTATCAGCGCTAAGTTCAAAAGCCATGTATTAGTGTGTTAGTGTCCATGGCATACCCATGCCCCATGACATTCAAAATGAGTGAATCTTTGCTAACAAACAATAAAGCTTTTCAGTTTGAACATTAAATATCTTGTCTTCGTTGTATATTCATATATGGGAACTTCACTGGAATAGGGGTTTGTATGACCATCAGGGGCCTAATTTATAAATGTATAAACGCATATTAACAAACTGAGAAATAAGAAACTGATTATGATGACAGAAATCCACGCTCCCCACAGAATATGAAAGCTTGCTAAGAGTTGATTATCATTTTTTAACAGAAACCAGCATAGGACGTGAATTGTTACAGCCATGTGTTTTGATGTGTGTGTGTGCACATACTGAGCTTGTCCATATACACAGTAGATTGAAGTGAATTCTATACAGCTAAAAATGAGGCACCAAACACCTACAGCAGACTTTGGATGTGCAACAGTGCTATCTATCATCATCAGTTCCTACATACAGTTGATTGAAGCTGTTCTGGTGGCACATTGTGGCCGATACCACCTCAGTAATTCACTAGCCAAAAGTTAGTTTTTTGCTTCAGAATCTGTCAATCATCCTGTCAGAATTTTGATATTTCCTTTTAGTAATATTTGAAAGGCAAGTTATCCAGACCTAAATATTAGTATTTACTGGTATAAACCCTTCAGAAGTCTCATCACACTTATCAGTCACTTTTATTAGTATTTTTATTTATTTATATACATTTCTTCATTTAGAGTATTATTTCAGTTTAAGAATGAGAGACAGATTAAATGTTTAACATGGTTATCATGTATACCATGATTAAACAACATATGAAAAAGAAACACGACTAGCAATTGAATCATGATTTATATGCTATTTGAAACTTACCGCGTTTCTGCTGAGGTGGTTCAGTGATGGGGAGGATGGGAGGACTGGTGGTGGGCTGGATGGGAGGACGACTGGTGGTGGGCTGGATGGGAGGACGACTGGTGGTGGGCTGGATGGGAGGAGGACTGGTGGTGGACTGGATGGGAGGAGGACTGGTGGTGGGCTGGATGGGAGGAGGACTGGTGGTGGACTGGATGGGAGGACGACTGGTGGTGGGCTGGATGGGAGGAGGACTGGTGGTGGACTGGATGGGAGGAGGACTGGTGGTGGACTGGATGGGAGGAGGACTGGTGGTGGGCTGGATGGGAGGAGGACTGGTGGTGGACTGGATGGGAGGAGGACTGGTGGTGGACTGGATGGGAGGAGGACTGGTGGTGGACTGGATGGGAGGAGGACTGGTGGTGGACTGGATGGGAGGAGGACTGGTGGTGGACTGGATGGGAGGAGGACTGGTGGTGGGCTGGATGGGAGGAGGACTGGTGGTGGACTGGATGGGAGGAGGACTGGTGGTGGACTGGATGGGAGGAGGACTGGTGGTGGACTGGATGGGAGGAGGACTGGTGGTGGGCTGGATGGGAGGAGGACTGGTGGTGGACTGGATGGGAGGACGACTGGTGGTGGACTGGATGGGAGGAGGACTGGTGGTGGGCTGGATGGTGGGCTGGATGGGAGGACGACTGGTGGTGGGCTGGATGGGAGGAGGACTGGTGGTGGGCTGGATGGGAGGAGGACTGGTGGTGGACTGGATGGGAGGAGGACTGGTGGTGGGCTGGATGGTGGGCTGGATGGGAGGACGACTGGTGGTGGGCTGGATGGGAGGACGACTGGTGGTGGGCTGGATGAGAAGAGGACTGGTGGTGGGCTGGATGGTGGACTGGATGGGAGGAGGACTGGTGGTGGGCTGGATGGTGGACTGGATGGGAGGAGGACTGGTGGTGGGCTCCTGGTTAGTACAACCTCAATGGTACAAAAAGAGGAAATTATTCACCTCCTGTAATAAGAACAAATGTCCCCTTTTTTCTAGCAGTGACTGTGCTCCATAAGGAAACGTCCAGTACATTTGTCTTTTGTATTCTTCCGTCTATAAATGTTCCCCTATCGACTCTCTGTAGAACTGAGGCAAGGCTGATTTTGTACTCTGGTGCAAATTGTAGGATCTCATTACCTCATGTGAGGTGGAGATATGTATATAGTTTTTTTGAAGTTGAATTGAGCAATGCCTCTTGCTATGTATTCTCTTGCTTGACTCTTTTGCTATGTATGGCAGACAATAAGTGAGCTTTGTGGCTCACTGACTAGTAAAAGAAACTAAGTCAGCAAACAACGGTTATTTTCATAATCTGTCGACTATTTTTTTTTTTTCAATGAATCAATTAGTTGTTTGGTCCATAAAGCATCAGAAAATGTTACAAAATGCTGACCATTGTTTCCCAAAGTAAAAGATGATCAGTGTTTATATATATATATATTCATATGTAAGACTCTGAAAGATCATTTTTTATTTTATTAAACAATTATCAAAATTGTTGGTGGTTAATTGTATAATTGATTAATAATCTCAAATATAAATGAATTGTCGCAGCTCTAAAAGAAACATTTATTGGATAAAGCAAAGACCAAATTTGATAAAGCAATGGGTGAATTGCTATTTTTGGCCCACTGTGGTTTGCCCTATGACAGTGGTACCAAGAAAATTCCCAACTGTAATTGCTGTGTCTGTGCCACATTTATTGTTATGTTGACTGTGGAGTAAGATTTTAAATAATCACACACACTTACCATTAATTAACAGTTCAAAGAGAGCCTTCATCCTGTCAAGGCATTTTTCAGAATGGTCTGACAGCTGCCATTTTGGCTGGAGGACTTGTGCGGACCAGGTTTTCTGCTTCTTCATTTTCTTTGCAATGAAGACTATGGCCTTGTACCCCAATGTGTTTAACTTTTCCACCTGAAAATAAAGATATATATTATATAATATATACAGAAATGTAAGCAATTATAAATGTCTGAAACATTGTGGGCTGTAATTATGTAAATAACAACTACAGACGTTAAACACATACCAAGACAGATGCCTCGTCAATAACATGAGAGGTGGTTTGGTTTTTGTTTTTGTTTTTCAACCACGTCTCCTTTCTGGCCTCAAATTTCTGAAGTTTTTTTGCCAGTCTTTGCTTTCTTGGCTGTACTGACTGGCAATATTTGCAGGTCTTGGTGGCCACACCAATAGCTGCTTTGCAGCTCACGCAGGTTGTTATTGTTGACCCTCGTGGCATCTTAAAACTAGAATATAAAACAATCAACATTTAATAACCAAAGTGACTGGAACTGCATTATTTAAGTGTTACATTACACATGTTTAAATGACTATACATTTCTGGAGCCTTGTGTCAGCTGTTGCAGTGCATTGTGGGATTTGTAGTATGAGTGAGTGGTGGGAGTGCGATTTACCGCGGGACATTAATAGACGTATGAAATTATCCTGCCACGGAAAAAATATCGATATGACTTTTAGTCCATATCGCACGCACAGCCCTACTACAGATTGTATGCAACATTAACCCATACGTCATAGTTTCATATACCTCCAAGTTGATTTCTGTTTTCATCAAGGTATTGTATTGTATTTTTGTGTGTTGTATGATTTTACTACTTGTCTTATACCTCCTATCTCATTTTGATTTCGCTGCAGTGACATGTGAATGGAAGCAATAAAGTTTTCAACTTATCATATCATTCTGACCTGGGTTAGCAAATTGGCGCCAACTGCAGCTAACGTCAAATGCGGTGGCTGCCGCTAATATAATGCTGGATAAACCCCTATGTCATCGGACACATCCCTATAAAATCATGGTGATAAATAATTACATTAATTTAATTTAATTTCGGGTATTCATTACCTACCTTTGAGGATGTACAGTATGAATTGTGGTGGCGGAGAGACTTGTCACTTGTCAATAGGCTGGCCTCTGTGCCTCTGAGTCTGTAATAGGACAACCCACGTGTCAATCAGCTACCTCTCGCAGCTCGTACGTTGCCCACACGTAAAAACGTGATGCCACTTTAGTGACACTGTTAACGTTTAAATAGTTGCGCGCTCCACTGTAAACTGTCTACCGCGGGCTTCATTCCATTTCAAAGGTCGAATGTCTACCCGAACCCAAAGACCACTGTCTCTCTTTTTATGCATATTATAATCTGCAATTTTTAAAATAATACTTTTATTTCACTGTAGGCTAGGGTGCCTGGCTGCAGCTGAGGTTATGACATCCAAAAATGTCTCAGGCTCCTCAAATACTAGTAATGCCATCATGCCATCCAATAAAGCACTGCACACACTTTTTTGTCAACTAAAATCTAATATAACATTAGATGCATTGTGTAGCCTATTTGCTGTGGCAGATATAAATGATTTGAATGACTGTGTTAGGTCATTCTGGCATAAAAACCCTCCAAAATCATAGAGATAAAAAAATTCTCAAACAATCCTAATTTTGATAATTATTTACACACACACACACACATGTCTGGTTTACTATCTTTGTGAGGACTCTCCATGGACATAATGGTTTTTATACTGTACAAAGTGTATATGCTGTCCCCTTCTACACTAACCCTACCCCTAAACCTACCCATCACAGAAAACTTTCTGCATTTTTACATTTTCAAAAAACACCATGCTGTATGATTTATAAGAATGTTTACCCATGGGGACCTCACTTTAGGTTCCCACAGTGACACGAGTCCCCATGAGTCTGTGTGCATTCAGGTTTAAGTCCCCACCAGGATAGAAAAACATGTACACACACACACACACACACACACTATCTTTGTGAGGACTCTCCATAGGCATAATGGTTTTTATACGGTACAAACTGTATATTCTATCCCCTTACACTAACCCTAACCCTACCCATCAAAGAAACCTTTCTGCATTTTTACATAAAAAAATAAAATAAATAAAAACTCATTCTGTATGATTTATAAGCCTGTGTACCCATGGGGACACCAAATTTTATCCCACCAGGATAGAAAAACCTGTACACACACACACACACACACACACACACACACTTGAAGCCCTCAAAGTGCTCTCTGAACCTGAACCTGTTAGGGCACAAGTCCAAAATGTGAATATTTTTTAAAAACTCGTCATAGAGCTAAACCAAATACATCACTGGAAAGGTCTTGACCTGGAGAGTAACATATATCAATTTGACGGTTCTATATTATTCCTGCTTTGAGATATTGACCTTTGAACCTTAACCTCAGGGCATATTTGAAGGCTTATAATAATGGGACAAAAAGGGTTACAGACATGAGACCAACTGTTATAGAAAGGTGCTGAAATAGGTTATAAGTTCAGCATAGTCACCAAGGGTGGGGGTGGGGGTGAGGTGGTCTATGGTATAAAAAATAAAAAATATACCCCGTTGAACAAGACAATATTTAAAGTCTGTTGCCATAAATGTGTTTGACATCCCCTCAAACCCACGGAATGCCACCAATTAAGTATTTACAACTTCCAATATTAGGGAATCCTGGGTTTTAAAAGAAAAACTACAACTCCCTTGACCCCTCTTCTGTACTTGTGTCGACATCAGAACCAGAGTTGTAGTTCCTCCGTTTTAGGGTCCTGCTAGGGTTGTGAAAACATATATCTACCCAATATATGAAATATCACACACTGTCTAATAAATAATTATATTGCATGTATATGATCTATGCTAAGAAAAGACAAAAAAATTAGTTTAATGACGACATATTAACTAAAAC